CTCAATACGAAATTTAAAACTTTTATTTTGTTAACATATGCAAACGATGTATATTTATACAAGTTTAAGGAAAATATAAAAGATAATACGAAATTTAAGGAAAAAATAAGTTACACAAATTGAACATTATAGACATTTAAGCACTGAATATATAAATATGAATTTTACCATTTGTGATGTCAGATGTGGTTGGGGAAGAGCTAATGGGTAAAACATTACTAACATTAACTTTTAGGTTTTTTCTTTTTTGAAACATATGAAATGTCACTCATTTCAATATGTTTTATTTGGTTTGTGTTTCTTGGTGTTATATATATATATATATATATATATAGATATATATATATATATATATATATAATAATATATATATATATATATAATATAATATATATTACACTCATATTGATGATTCCTAAAACTTTCAATAAGGGAATTGAATATTAGAAGGGATTTAAATTAGGTAAAAAAAAATAAAGTATGCATATAATTATGGAGGGAATAAATGCAGTATATAAAAACAGATTTAGAATACAAATACGAAGCTTTTATTCGGTTACTATATGGAAACGATGTATATTTTTGTAGGAAATAAAGTATGTAAATGATTTTGGAGGGAAAAACATTAAAATATTCTAATATTTTACATAAGGAAAGTACAAGTTAATATGGATTGTTATTATGGACGAAATAATGAATGTAAATACTTTTGGAGGGAATAAATTTTGTAAGGTATAATATTTTTGTATAAATTTTGAAGTATGTACAATTTTATAAATAAAATCATAGTTATATAATACTTTATAAGTTGTATGGTTATTAGATAAAGAAAAAAAAAGTTGATATGTTATGTGATTTTTTTAACATCTTATGTAATAAAAAAACATAGTGCTTTTGAATATGAGTTTTGTAACTTACAATTTTTGAAGAGATGTCATAAAAAACATGATAAAAATATTCAACAACAAATTTATCAAATTGTTGATGGCAACATGAACAATGAAACCTCTCTAAATAAGCAACCAGTTATTTCCTTGTATCGACAAAAAGTAAATTTAATAATTACTGGTATAAAATAATTTAAACTATGATATAAAATTGTATATATTGAAGTATACATGTAAAGTAACTTTTTTGGAAAATATATGATATTTTGTAAAAAACCAAATATCTTAAACATAATCATTCAATCACATTATAAGTAAAACATGTAACACTTAATAGTCATATAAATAAGTCAACATAAATCTGAAATTGTGTTAAACAACATATGTGGAGTCTACATAGAAAATAAAATATGACTTGATGATTAAAAGTATTAAAAAAAACAAAGTATTCAATCATAGACTAATATAAAATATTTAATATCCTCATTAAAAAAACGGTTTTCAAATGCAATTTAAAATATATACAATTACATATATCTACTTGGCATAGTCATCATCTCAAAATCAGAATGAAATGAAAATACTTCATGAGAAGGATATGCCGGAACGACATACTCAATCGTATTTCCTTTAAAGAAAGAAAGGAGATTGTTTCGATAATCCCACCAGTCATGTGTACCAGCATTGTAATTACTAACATCTATTTTAACCCATCGATTCTGAATGAAAACCCAAATAGTCCACAAATAATCTCCACTTATAGAAAAATATCCCAATTTTCATCAAATTTGATAAGTCTCAATGCATACGAGTTGAAATTATTAATAGTAGAAGGTGCAGATATCACTAAATATTCTTCCGAATATACATCGAATTGCAACATGGCATTGTTAGACATTAAAAAGTAAATCACGTCTCCACTTATAACTGCCTCATCCGAAACAGGATAAACAGAAAATGGTAATCGGATACTACGAAGCTCCCTCCATTCCCATGTAGTAGAGGCAAACAATTCTAGGTGGAAGTAATCGTAGTCACATGATCGTTAAACAGACCACTACAAAGAAAATAACATATCAGTAATTAAATAAATTAAAATAATATAACTTACAATAACATATAAATGATGACTAAATATACAAGTGGATTATTTTAGCTTAGAAGTGTTTTATTTGATAATAACATATAAATGATGCTTTTGATCAAGGTTGTAGAAATCGTTACTCGGTACTTGTTCGGCCGACTACCGAGTAGCGAGTACTCGGGAGTACTCGGATTTGGTAATTCATGTAGAAATATTTTTAGGGAAATTATATATGTCAAAATCATAAGTTGATTGAAATATATAACAAAATTAGATAAATATGAATATACAAAAACTGAAAAACACATAATGGTTTAACTTCATGAATAACTACTGAAAATTTAAGATATATATGTAGTAATAATCATATATGTGTGTATGTTATATAATAAATCATTAAGTATATTATACATATTAATCACCGAGTTGACCGAGTTTTACAACACTGCTCAGTTCAGTAAGGGGCCGATCAGGGAGTACTCGGGATTTTGTAACTCGCATCGGAGCCGAGTAGCGAGTACTCGGATGAGTAATCGGTCAACTCGGGGAGTTTTACAATATTGCTTTTGATATAAGACATAGAATTAAGTGTTGCAATTTTCATTCCTATCAAAATATAGCCTATGACACATTATAATACAACGTACAAAAGAGATGTATTACATTTTTTTGTCGTATTAACATTTTACTTGGGTCAAAATGGTAATAAGAAATCTAAAACAGGCTACTATTAACATTTTATTTTTGATAAATATATAGCTTTTATATAAATAAACTTGGGTAAATATCTTATTTTATACAAAAGTTTTATAGCCTAACATGGGTTAACAATTTATAAAAAAATAGTTGGTAAAAGTTGAACTAATGAAATTTAGTTCAAATACACATTTTCTTCGTACTTACTCTGCAACATCTTTCTGTATAAATTGAACTAATATTATATTATTTAATCTAGATGCAATTAAATCAGTATTCACAAATCCTTTGTGTGTAACACTTCTGATATTTGAAGCCCCCACCTATAACCACACCATTAGAATTTGCATCAAAATTATATTTAGGTCAAAATGCAAATAGCTCTCGAAAGTTAAACTATATGATAGCATACTTTAAATTCAACCACAAAAAATACACTTATATTTTGTACCAAAACAACAATGTACTTACATTTCAAAAACAAACTCAAAGTATGTTGCAATGACGGAAAACAAATGGTTGTATTAAGCCATTGCACTTTCACTTTTTAGTATGAAGACATTATACTTCAAAAAGTTATCCAGTTATATCAAAGACGAAGATAAACACACACACACACACACAAAATGAGGCAGTGTAAAATGCTTTTGCAGTTAAATTGTATATTCAACCAAAGCTAAAGCAATCATCTGATAGAGCGTTCAATAACCATTACAATCCCCTATGTGACCCTACCACTCCTAAGATAGGAAGTTGCAATTAGTTTACTAAAAAAAGTCAAAACATAAAAAATGATGATCTTTTCATGCCGACATTTGTATTCATGGTGGAAAAGTGGTTAATTGTTTAACTTATAATATTGTTTTTGAAAAATCATTGGATGAAAGTAATGTAAATTAATAGAGATATCACAGTGAGAGATGTACGTCTAACAATGAGAGATTTTCATGTCGACATTTGTATTCCTTGATTCAAGTTTTCTTGGTTCCTAGAAGGAATCCCTTTTATTGTAATGTTAATTGTTAACATTAAGATTTACATTCATATAATAATTTTCTGAAAATATAATCACAATTTAACCTAATGAATCAATTCAACTGTAATAACAATAATGAAGAAAAAGAAAACCACAACGGAACAGAAAGGAAAAAAAAGTTCAAAAAACATATTGAAAACATGATTCTATAGTTGATTCATAAATAATTAGAATCATACCAAAGCTAATAAGATATTTAGAAGACTTTTCATTTAAATAAATAAAGATCATATAATACCAATTTAATTAGAATTTTCAAATTTTTTCAAATTATAATTATAATCTTAGAATATTTTCAAATTACAATTAAAATTAAAAGCTTATTTTAAAAAACCGATCCTAAAATAATCAGAATCATATCAAAGTTAATAAGATATTTAGAAGATTTTTTATTTAAATAAATAAAGATCATATAATACCAAATTTAATTAGAGTCTTCAAATTTTTTCGAATTATAATTATAATTTCAGAATATTTTCGAATTACAATTAAAAGCTTAATTTATTTTCGAATTATAATTAATGTTAATACGATTTAAAAAATATATATATATATATTAATAGTTTGAAAATTAGAATATGTAAATAAATGTATTAAAATTTTAAAATTATATAAAAGGGTAAAATTAGAAAAGAAAATACCAAGAACCGAAACGAAAATCATGAACCCTGGTGAGATTTGTACAACTCTTCGACTTCTAACACGGGTCATAGCCAATAGAAACATGTATATAATATTAATTTTGAATTCTTAATAATATTAGCAAAAAGGAAAAAACCAAAAACGGTCAAACGGACCTCTACAAGGGTAATAAAGGCAGTCATCATCATCAGGTACTTCCACTTCATGATGCAACCCCTCATATCAACCAAGCTCCATTGCACGTTGTTCTTCCACTTTCTGGAACTCCAACACCTCTTTTGGTCCCAAATAACTTGGCTGATTCGTGGGCAAAAGTAGCATTGCCCACATCCTATTAGTGATCACAACCTTATTATGATGATCCACTATAGGTTGCATGCATGCCGAGAAATCATCATCATCATCATCATCACACAACATGAACACAAGAAAACATAACAATCACAGTTGTAATAAGGGAAGTTTTCACAAAAACTACTACATTTTCAACATTTTATCCGAAAAACCACTACTTTATTTTTTTTCTTTAAAAAAAACCACTCATATTTCAAAAAGTTAAAAAAAAAAAAAAAAAAAAAAACCATTCATATATATATATATATATATATATATATATATATATATATATATAATATATATATATATTTGAAAAAACATCATTATTTAAGAATACAATATAGTTGGCCATGAAACAAAGTTTGTTAACCATTAGGGGTGAGAATGGTTCGGTCTGCTTTTGTTTTAGTAAAAAAGTCGAACCAATCTCACCACTAGTTGTTAACAAACTATGTTCCATGGTCAGAAATAAAAGATTTATAAATATGAATGGCATTTCTGAAAGAAAAAAAAAAGTATTGACTTTTTCAGATGAATGGTTGAAAATGTACTGGTTTTCATAAAAAATTTCCTAGTGATAATAGAGATAACCAATAGAGATAAGCAACACTGAAAGGAATATAAGTATGTCGACCATGCACAAAGCACAAGCCCACTAATAAACCCTGTGAACCCCGCCATGGCTCCACGAACACAGCTTTGAGAATGAAGAGTACAGTAGATATTGTCAGATGCATTACTTGGAACAGCACGAATCATGTATGTAGGATCTATATGATTTTTATAAAGATAGAAGGGCGATTCGGGTATTAAACATAAATCCACATCACGACTTGCAAGAGTTGCATACATTGCAATGAACCCTGAAACAACAATTTAAAAAAAAAACGAATCAAATAGTTAGATAAGTGTTGTTTGAATGAATGATGTTTGAAAAATGTTGAATAAAGTGACGACACACTTGGGGAAATTGGAAAGTAAAATAGAATTCAATAGAAATTTGTAAAAAGTTAAAACCTGCAATCTTATGATTTTCCTATTAATTCGTTGTTTATGCATTAAGCAAAAAAGAAACATATTTTTTTCTCCATTCAAATTTCTACGAATAGTGTGCTAAAGGATAAAGTGTTGTATACATAAAGTTTGTTTCTTTTTTGAACCGAATGAACTAAACTAAACTATCTGAAGAAGACTAAATGACCATTTGACCCTTATTTTGTAGAGAGCTTATTAGTACAAGATGAGCTTACCGCTGTAGTGCGCTATTAATTTGACTACTCCTATGTCGTTTTCTGGACTCTCTGCCTCAACGTATGCAACATTAATAGCACGTTAAGGCTCTTCAACAGCAGTATCAAAACCGAATGACCTGTCAATAACCTGAAACAAGAATGAAATAGTTTTAGATCATATCTTTGACTTCAAAAGATACAACTAATTTACTATTTGATTAAAATGTCGAATTATCTGGGATGAAAATACTGAAATGTCATTGTCAATTGTCTTTGGAATCCTAACCACAACAGCTTTGATTCCCCTTCGTCTGATTTCCTGTGTGTGTGCGTATATATATATATATATATATATATATATATATATATAGATATATATATATATATATATATATATATAGATTGAACCACAAAATATAAAAATATATTTAATGCATAATCACAAAAAATGAGTCTTGGAGAGATATTATAATCCAACATACTTCATAAATCACAGCTGCACCTTTTTGAGTTCCATCACCTCCAATTATATAAACCTTATAACGCAATCAATCAAATTCATCAATCATTCATTAAGTAGCATGCATGCATGCATGTATGCATGAATCATTAGTGGAAAAATATTAATCATTCAACATGTGAAACTTGAAATGCCTGATTGATACCACGATCTTGAATGTTGTCAACTATCTTTGATTTGTCATGGCCACCTCTTGAAGAACCAATAACTGTTCCACCACGTTTATGAATATCACTTACAAACTTGGGGTTAGTGTTATGGTATTCTTTGAGTAGAAACCTTTGTATCCTCCCTGCACAAGATCACAAACAAATATAATAAGAATCATGATATAATTTTGTATCTTTTTATATATACATTTTGAAATGATTATATTTATATATGGAGACGCCATACATGTGATGAAGGGCACATACAATTTCTCTAATCATTGTATTTAAACCAGGGCACAGACCACCACACGTTATTACACAAGCACACACCTGATCTGATCTAAAATAAACGTGGATCATTAAAAAAATTGTTTTTTTTTTACCATAATTGATATTTAAAAGAAAAAACAAAAAGTAAAATTGAATAATAATAAATAGCATACACTTTGGCAGGTCCAGCACGCTGGAAATGGACTCCTCTTGGACCGTTCTTCTGGACAACAACCTACGAGAAGACAAAACTAATAGATTTGTTGATGGTGATAGCTCTGTTTTCCTTTTTTTAATAATACAACTTATAACTTACCTTTTCTGATACAATATCATCAAAATCAATAAAATATTGCCTGAAATTTCGTAGAACATGTTGTTTATTAAAGATTAAAATATATTGATACTTGTAAATTGAAGATTGAACTACAGCAATAGCAGCAGTAGAATGTTGTTATAGAAGAAACGAAAGTAGGATTTTATAAAACATTAATAAATGAAAATATGTTGCTAAAATTAGGAGTTATTATAGAGTCACCTGTGTTATGTGTTCTGTAGCTGCAACTCTTGGTTTAACAATTTCACAATTTGCTATCACAAGTGTATTTGGAATCTCAGTTTTCAAACCCTACAATGAAATGAACATTGTAAGAGAATTTGAACTTCATGACATACACAACTGATAGTATAGAAAGAGGAATACCTTTTGATAATCACGAGCAGCTGCAGCCATTACATTTCCAAATGCTAGAGTTTGCAGAGTCAATTTAACTAAATCAGGATCCATGTCTTTTATCCCTGTAGAAAACTACTTAGTTGGAAGAGTAAAACATCCAAAACATCATGAATCAAAGGCTACAAGGATCTGAAACAATGTTGAAATTACAGTTTTTTGCATATCGATTTTGAATTATAGATAAGTATGGAACCTAATCTTGCCATCACTTTATTTTCTGTTTTTCTCAAGTTCATAGATAATAACAATAAACATATAGCCCAAATCAACCAGTTTACACATAAATATGTTGAAAAGTTAACCTATAAACATAAGCCAACATTGTTATTCAACATTGTTACAGACTTACAGGTTGTTTTTCAACTGAATGGAAATCTTAGTTTAGAATGATGGTTGATAAAAACTTATTATGATTATCTGATTATGATTTTCAGATTATTTAGAATCAAAAAATCAGATTTGCAAAACCATGAAATGAAAGGAGTTACAAATGTTTCTACTTTACATCAGGAAATCAACTCACATTCAAATATAAACAACTTTCATTACAAATGTTTCTACTTTACAGCTCTTATGCATCAATTGATAAAAAACAAATTATTCTAACAGAAACCAGGGAAAAGAAGGAAGAATACAGCTAGGAAAAAAAATCGACAGCATGAAAAATTGAACAAAAACGAACCTAGTTGTGGGGTCGACGGTCTCCGGTGTTTCTGTGGGGGTGCGACGGTCTCCGGCCGGTGGCTTCACAGGGGAGAAGGCAGCTAGCAGGAGGGGAGGCCTCGCTTGGAGGCAACAATCGACAGAAGCACACAATGGATACATATGAGGTTTATTAGGTTAATGGGTATAACTGTCAATTCTTTCAAATGGTGAAATAAGTTTAGTTGTAAAATACATCCGCTGGAATCCAAATGTCACGCCATTGATTCATTCTCCAATTTGAATCGATCATGTACAATCCTAATCGCAGGTCAAACCACAAACATTTATCAAATGGCCGATTACATATACGTAATAACGTTCAGTCAATAACAACACGAATCACTTAATGTAAATAATCTATCGCTAATGAAAAATGCATAAGAAAGAACACTATAAAACAACCAATTTCATAAACATAACCACCATCCTTGATTCCCTGTGTTAGCTGTTCAATTGATGTAATTAGCAAAACACAAGCCTCGTCACAAAAATTAAACATCTTAACATATGCATTGTAAAGAAAATTTCAAAAACGATAGATCACAAATGGAGTAATCAATCACAACCCTAAAATCTGAGAACGGTGAAGAAGATTGATGTAGAAGGGAATGGTTTCTCTGTTTCGGTTACGATCGGAGAGAGAGAGGAAGACAATTAAGTAACAGTTGACCAATACCCTAGTCTAGTCAAAGCATGATGTCATCAAATAATCTAATAGCAAAAAAATATAGGCTATGATTGCTTTAGGGTAGAATTAAGGTTCTCTTTTAATAATATTTAGAGATTCTGCAAATATAATACATAAGGGTAAAATAGTAATTTTGATGATTCAACATATCAATTGAGAGGTTCCAACCAAACAGCCTGTTAATAATTCAGATCTTAAAGTTTCAGACCCTCTTAGAAATTCAGACCTCTTAAAAATTCAGATCTTAAAAATTAAGATCCTGCCAAATAGCCCCTTAGAAAACCAAAAATACCGGATATTGTCATAATTACATTATTATTAGTTTTAATTATATAAAAATACAAAAAATGAAAAAAAAAATAATTTATTGGTTTTTACCGGTTTTACGGGTTCATATGACGAACGGCTTTTTGGTCTTTAAGAACCGAATCCAATACTAGTTCCCAGTTGAACAGCCGATCCGGTCCGATTTTCATACCATGACTTAAATGACTTAAATGTTAAGAATGTTCTAAATGTTTTATATCGATAAAGGATTTAAATATAGTATATAACTAGTCATCATCAAAATCAATTACAAAATATTTTAAATGGCAGGAAAAATAATGTTACATGGATCAACTAATACTACATGATAGATTATTATTTGTTTACTGTAAGCCTATTATATAACATCTTTCCCACATTAATTACCACGTCACTTTCCTCTTACACTCTAAAACTTAGGAAAATAGTCATCCCTACTTCCCCATAGTTTGTATATTCTTTTTTAATAAATATGAAAACATAATATATTGTATCGTACAACTTGTTAAAAAAAAAAAAAATAAGTTGCAGTGAGTGTCTTGCGGTGTAGGTCACCACACTTTTTGATGCCCACGGTATTGTGTTACTGCACATGTGGTACCACATTGCACTAACCTCGTACCGCAAATCCACACCTTTTAGTCTTAGAGGTGGCATGTTTAAGGCTTGTAATAAAAAAAAAGTGAATTGTGTTGCATTTTGAGAATGGCAGTGTGAGAGTTTTCCTCCCAAATTGTAGTTTTCCTCTCGATTCTAGTGGACTCTCAATTAGATGAAATATTTTCCGACTTGGAGTTGTTACATATGTGCCGGTTGAAATTAGTGGGATTCAGTGGTGAATCTAGAACCAAAATCAACGTGGTTCCTTATATAAATGAAATGAAAAAAAGTATGAAAATGTAGGTCTTTTGGCAGGTAGTTCCTTATGTTTTTTTATATAGAATTGTTGTATTAAAAAGGAAAAAATGTAGGTCCTAGGACCCACCTTCACATAGTGTAGCTACACCCCTGATGGGATTGCTCATTTTGAAAAAATAAAGGAAACCATGTTTTTTGGACACCCTACTTAGTGGTGCACAAATAAACTGCTTCATGAACCGAAACCAATTCAATTTATAAACCGGTTTGGTTGAAACCGAATCATAAGTTCGATTTTTTTTTCTAGTGAAACTGGTTTGGATAAAACCAGTTTTCAAACCTATAAAAAATCGTTTTTATAGAGTAAAAAATATTGTTTTTAACTATTATTTTTTCAATTTGTTGTTTATACAAAGTTTTATAAGTTTCTCAATAATGATTTTCGCCCCTTTTACCATCTTGGATGTGCGGAAAACTTTTTTAATTCTTAAAAGTTGAAAAATACTGGTATGAACCCCCTAAGCGGCCATGAATGCCCGGAAAATACCTTAGCTTGTGGCATGACCATGAGTTATACTTATTTGTCCATTTTGATCAACCATTAAATTTTCGTTAAATTCTGACACTGAAAGCAAGTTCGGTAAAATACGTAAAACTAGCGAAATAGGTTTTTTTCGAATTGGTTTCACCCAAATCGATCCTAATCATTCCTACTGGTTTGGATATTTTTGCTCAAAAACTATTTAAAAACCAAACCGATTTTAATTCAAACCGGTTTTGCCTTTTGTTGGCCCAAACCGAACCGATATCCAGAAGGTTTTGACTTGGGGTGTACAAACTAGTTTGTACACCTCTAAGTCTGAACCTATGTTATAGTTTCTCTAGGGCAAGATTTAACCTTTTAAAGCTTACAAAACATGTATATTTATGTTAAAATTGTTCGTACTTATCAATCCAAGGGTTATCATTGAATTTGAGAAAGAAATTTTTTAAAATGTATTTAAGTTACCGACAAATGTATTTTACTTTTTAAAAGAGTAACCAACTCAATTTTTTGTATATTTACTTTTAAAATATTTTACAACTTTTTATTGAAAATTTATGACTTGTTATATATATTTACAAAAACAAATTATGAACTTGTTTTATATTTTTTAATACAACATTTTAAACTTGGATTACGACTTATAAACTTTTTTTATTCGTTCAAACACTTTTAATGCAACTATTTTTAAACAAAAGTATTTTGTATGTTATAGAAAAGTCTTACACTTTCATACAGACTTCAACAATGTTTTACATTTTTAAACAAAACTATTTTAAAACAATGCTTTACATTTTTAAACATTTTTACATTTTCATACAACACATCGTTAACGAAAAATAATTTTAAATGTTATAGAAAGGTATAAAAACATCTATAAAAAGCTATGAAATGTTTTAAAAATATTGTAAAAATAGTTTTAAAATTATTGTATGAAAATTATAAAAAAAAAGTGGTAAGAAAATATAAAAAAGAAATTAAAAAGATGTAAGAAATGTATAAAGAATTTACTAAATATTTAGTTTAAAAACATATGTATAAAAAGTTGTATGAAATTTTAAAAAAGTTTAAATAGTTATAATCCAAGGGGAAAAGTTGTATTAAAAAATATAAATCAAGTTTATAACTTTTTTATAAATACTTATAACAATTAGTAAAAAAAAATAACCAATAAATTTTAAAAAAAATGTTGTAAAAAGAAATGCTGACACTTGTAATTTTAAAGAAGGGAAAATGACTTATAAGCCCAACGAAGTTTCTAAACCGTTCAGAAAACCCCAATTATGTTTTGTTTGTTCAAGAAACCCAACGAATTAACATTTTGTCTAAAAAAACCCAACTAACTTACACTTCTCATTTAGGGTCAACCGGCTAATGAAAGTCAACGAATGGCATGGTTTATGACATGTAATTAAATATCGTAAAATGACTTGTAAGACCAATGAAGTTTTAAAACCGTTCAAAAAACCCCAATCATGTTTTGTTTATTGAAAAAAACCCAACGAACTTACATTTTTGTTCAATTCTCATTAGAGGCATCCAGATTCATTAAGTATATAACTAGTTGTCAAATGACATGGAATTATATTTAATGACATGGAATAAAGAGATTAGAATTGCTCATCTGTTCGAACAAGCCCTGAACATTTTTCTCTGGATGATCCTCTATTCTAGATGTCCAAATCCAAGAAGGGAGTCCACATCCACAAGGGTTTTCATCATCAAATATCTTCTTTGTAGATCTTGAGTTGGACATCAACGATTGAGATGAAGAATAAGAAGTAACTATTACAAGAGATCGAAGACATACGCCGCTCGTTTTTCTCTTCTCCAAGCCCTAAATCGATATATAAAGGGCAATTCTAATCTGTTTATTCCATGTCATTAAATATAATTTCATGTCATTTGCCAACTGGTTTTATACCTAATGAATTTGGTTGCCTCTAATGAGAATTAAACAAAAGCGTAACTTTGTTGGGTTTTTTTAACAAACAAAACATGATCGGGATTTTTTGAACGGTTTCGAAACTTCGTTGGTCTTACAAGTAATTTTTTTCGATATTTAATTACATATCATAAGCCATGTCATTCGTTGACTTTTATTAACTGGTTGACCCTAAATGAGAAGTATAAGTTACTTGGGCTTTTTTAGACAAAATGTTATTCGTTGGTTTTCTTAACAGACAAAACATAATTGATGTTGTTTGAACGGTTTGAAAACTTTGTTTGGCTTATAAGTCATTTTCCCTATTAAAGAAACTAACAAATTTCACACAAAAAAAAGGGCTAGGAGAGATATAATTTCATTACACTTTAGTTTAAAGCATAAAATAATATAAAATTTCTACAAGCTTTAAAGCGTGAAAAAATATTAAATCTCTCCACAATCTAAAACATGAAAAATACAAACTGTCAAACTCTTTCCATGCTTTAAACATGAAAATCATATAAAACCCACAACCGTTTAATCGTCAATAAACCAAAAATAAAATTATAAGTATGATTCATCAAGAGGCTCCACCTTCTCCAATTCGCATAATACCCATTTAATGTTAGAAATTATAGAGGAAATGTTGCAAGTTTGCAAGTTTCCTCTATCTTATATTGGTGAGGGAAGAAACTTTTAATGAGTTTATAAGCTTATTCTCTTTATAGGCTTTTAAAGGCTTTAGTGGATCAAAGGAATTGGCCAAGCTCATAAGCGCGCCTAGCCTAGCCTAGCACTAGCTGACGCTGCGAGTACGTGATTTAGGCGCATTTTATACTGGGAGTTGAGGAGCTTTTATTTTTGACGAGTTCGGGTCAAAACGGTTTGACCGATCCGGTCAAATGGTCGACCGTCGTTGACTTCGTAGAGGACAAGTCGGAATATTCTAGAAGGACCTAAAACGGTTTGCTTGGAGAGCAAGTCGTCGCCCTAGGATTTCTAGGGGCCGGCCTATGAGGGCCCATTTCATGCCTTCTAGAGTTTCGATACCTATAAATACAGCTCCCTAGGAGCCGTATTAGTCACTCACGAAAATCGAAACTCTCCTCCTCTCTCTACGATTTTCTTCCAGGAGCTTTTATTTTTGACGAGTTCGAGTCAAGATGGTTTGACCGATCCGATCAAATGGTTGACCGTCGTTGACTTCGTAGAGGACAAGTTAGAATATTCTGGAAGGCCCAGAAAACGGTTTGCTTGGAGAGCAAGTCGTCGCCCTAGGGTTTCTAGGGGCTGGCC